TATTTTATATATATGCATATATATAAACATATATCCCAACAATCCTGTTGTGATGGGTCCTCGTTTTGAAGAAGCGCCCCGCGTCGCACCTCACCTCCGCTCCCACGCTCCTCCCCTCCCTGCCTTTGCTCTCTCGCATGCACATGTCGGCGCACCCCTCACACGCTTCGTGGCCCCATCGGGAGCTCCACCGAAGGCTCCAAGGGCAAGGTCCGCATGCCGGGGCCACCGCCCATTTTGGCAGACACGTCACACGGCTCGTGGCCCCACAGGGAGTACGCCCCTCATGAGGATCGTGGCCCCATAGGGAGCTCCACCGAAGGCCCCAGCGGCAGGGTTCGCATGCGTTCCACAGCCGATTTCGGCACACCCCTCACGAGGATCGTGGCCCCATAAGGAGCCCCACCGAAGGCCCCGGCGCCAGGGTTTGCATGCGTCCCCCCGCCCACTTCGGCACACCTTTCACGAGGATCGCAGCCCCACAGGGAGCTCCACCGAAGGCCCCGGCGGCAGGGTTTGCATGCGTACCCCCGCCAATTTTGGCACACCGTTTCGCGAGGATCGTGGCCCCACAGGGGCTCCACCGGAGGCCATTTCGGCAAGGTTTGCATGCGTCCCCCCGCCCAACTCGGCGCACCCATCACGAGGATCGCGGCCCCATAGGGAGCTCCACCAAAGGCCCCATGCGGCAGGGTTTGCATGCGTCCCCCAATCGATTTCGGCACACCCCCCACGAGGATCCTGGCCCCACAGGGAGCTCCACCGAAGCCCTCATCGGCAGGGCTTGCGTGCGTCCCCCCGCCCAGTTCGGCACGCCCATCAAGAGGATCGTGACCTCCTAGGGAGTTCCACCGAAGGCCCCGGCGGCAGTGTTTGCATGCGTCCCCCCGCCCATTTCGGCACGCCCATCCCGAAGATCGCGGCCTCATGGGGAGCTCTTCCGAGAGCCTCACGGGGAATTGCATCAGGAATTGCAGGTGGTGTCGCATTCCGAATTACAATTGGTATATACTGTTGATTTGGGTTGGATGTATAGAGGGAGCGTTATTAGGCGCAGTGTGAAACTTGTGTTACTGGCCGTAGTGGGGATTGGAATAGGAAGTGCGTTCCTATATGCGCATGTGCCACGTGATCTGCATTAGGGGCCGAAGCAACAAGTATAGTGTGAATTGCACTGCTGGCGGGTACAATGGGAACTGCCGTAGGACTTGTAGAATGAGCCGTTGTAGGACTTGCAGTCGGAGCTGTAGTGGGAGGCGTAAAAGAAGCACATGTGAGGGAACTGTACAGGTGGCTGTAGTAGTAGTAGTCGTCGTCGTAGTAGTGGTAGTGGTTGTAGTAGTAGTAGTAGTAGTAGTAGTAGTAGTCGTCGTCGTCGTCGTCGTCGTCGTCGTCGTCGTCGTCGTCGTCGTCGTCGTCGTCGTCGTCGTCGTCGTCGTCGTCGTCGTCGTCGTCGTCGTCGTCGTCGTCGTCGTCGTCGTCGTCGTCGTCGTCGTCGTCGTCGTCGTCGTCGTAGTAGTAGTAGTAGTAGTAGTAGTAGTAGTAGTAGTAGTAGTAGTAGTAGTAGTAGTAGTAGTAGTAGTAGTAGTAGTAGTAGTAGTAGTAGTAGTAGTAGTAGTAGTAGTTAGTAGTAGTAGTAGTAGTAGTAGTAGTAGTAGTAGTAGTAGTAGTAGTAGTAGTAGTAGTAGTAGTAGTAGTAGTAGTAGTAGTAGTAGTAGTAGTAGTAGTAGTAGTAGTAGTAGTAGTAGTAGTAGTAGTAGTACTAGTAGTAGTAGTAGTAGTAGTAGTAGTAGTAGTAGTAGTAGTAGTAGTAGTAGTAGTAGTAGTAGCAGAAGCAGCAGTCATTGTAGTGTTACTAACAGAAGTAGTAGTAGTAGTAGTAGTAGTAGTAGTAGTAGTAGTCGTAGTAGTAGTAGTAATAGTAGCAGTAGTAGTAGTAGTAGTAGTAGTAGTAGTAGTAGTAGTAGTAGTAGTAGTAGTAGTAGTAGTAGTCGTAGTCGTAGTCGTAGTAGTCGTAGTCGTAGTCGTAGTCAGTAGTAGTAGTAGTAGTAGTAGTAGTAGTAGTAGTAGTAGTAGTAGTAGTAGTAGTAGTAGTAGTAGTAGTAGTAGTAGTAGTAGTAGTAGTAGTAGTAGTAGTAGTAGTAGTAGTAGTAGTAGTAGTAGTAGTAGTAGTAGTAGTAGTAGTAGTAGTAGTAGTAGTAGTAGTAGTATTCGTAATAATAATAGTAGTAGTAGTAGTAGTAGCAGTAGTAGTAGTCGTAGTCGTAGTCGTAGGCGTAGTAGTAGTAGTAGTAGTAGTAGTAGTAGTAGTAGTAGTAGTAGTAGTAGTAGTAGTAGTAGTAGTAGTAGTTCTAGTAGTAGTACTAGTAGTAGTAGTAGTAGTAGTAGTAGTAGTAGTAGTAGTAGTCGTAGTCGTAGTCGTAGTCGTAGTCGTAGTACTAGTAGTACTAGTAGTTGTAGGAGTAGTCACGACGTAGCAAAGTAGCTGTACTGACGAGGCAGTCGTACGAGATGTAGTTGCGGACATGAACTGTAATGCGAGCTGTCCTATCGGGTGTGCCCTGGAACTGTATTAGGACCTGCAGTAATACATGCAGTGTGCATTGTATTAGAAGCGATCGTGAGAGCTGTGCTATTGGACTCATTCAAACATCTCTCGGGGCTGCACTGGGAGACACATTGGAATCTGTGCTTAGATCTGTACTATGGTTCAAATTGGGATGCGCGTGAGAGATTTACTTGGGACGGTTAGGAAAACTGCGCTAATGGTTGCAGTGATAATTGTTGTCAAAGCTGCACTGTGATATAGCATCGGAGGTGTATCATGTTATGTAGCACAAGCTGCAACAATAATTGTAGTTGGAACTGTGCGGATATCGTCAGCGGTAGGCTTTGTCGGCTGTTTGATAAAACGTTGAGACCCACTGCCCCTCGGATCTGCGCAGGCTTCCTTTCCTGATGCCTTCGCCGCAGACCCCGACCTTCGTGTTATCACAGAGCCATGGGCTGGCTTAGAACCTGAGCGCGCCCGAACCGCGCGCGATTCTAGTATGTATGTATGTATGCATGTATGTGTGTATGTAAGTGTGTGTAGGTATGTATGTATGTATGTGTATGTATGTCTGTATGTTTGTACGTCTGTGTGACTGTATTTTTGTATGCGTGTGTGTGTATGTACATGTATGAGTGTGTGTATGTATGTATGTATGTATGTATGTATGTATGTATGTATGTATGTATGTATGTATGTATGTATGTATGTATGTATGTATGTATGTGTGTGTATATATATACATGTCAGCATCACACACATATTATGTATATATACATTTGTATGCATGTATTACCAGAGACCCCCCTCCCGAAATCGCCCCCCCCCCCGAGTCCCCGGCCCGCGGGACCCTCAGGACCCCCTGGATCCGTGGCCCTGGGGACCCCCTGGACGCTGGACGCCCCTGCAGGAGGCCCCACAGGCGTTTCAGAGCTCCTGGAAGCCCATGCTGGGCCTAGGCAGCGGGCCCAAATCGGTCAGGAGGGCGACCGAACGCCCCCCTGAGAGCCCCAAGAGGCCCCAGACACCCACCAGACGCCCGAAGATGATTCAAAGAAGAAAGAGGCTTCCAAAACGCAGAAAAACATTGACTTTCCCATGTTGTTGCATGATTTGAGGAATGCCCTGTTCTTCGGTCTTCTGGGCGTCTGAGACCGCCTGGGTGGCTCGAAAATCGCTCCAAAACCATCCGAAAGGGCTTCCAGTCAGTCCAAGAGAGCCCCAAGACGGCACAACAGGGTTCCAAGATGGCCTAAGAGAGCCCCATGACGGCCCAAGATGGTCCCAAGACACCCTCCGAAGCATTCCAAATCGTGACCCGGTCGTTCAGGGAGACCGCGGTTGAAGGCAGGGTGGCCCGAGGAAGCCCCCGGAGGCCCCCAGAAGACGTCCAGGAGGCTTGTAGAAGGCTTTAAGAAAGCCTGAAAAGTTTCCGCGAGGCCCCCAGAGGCTCTCCAAGGAGGAGCCTCCGCAAAAAGCGCTGAGGATGATGGGGAGGAATTCACAGGGTAGGGCGAGAATGAGGAAAACGAAACATGGAGGAAGGAAAACGAATAGCATTATTATAACGGCGATGCCGGAAAAGGCAACACGGAGTTATCGCTAAATTGTTGGCTTGACCTTCCTGCCATTACGCCTGCACGCCAAATTCCAAGGACCAAGGTGCATGGCGCGAAGCGCCAATGCAGTCTTGTGTACATATATGTATAGAAAGAAAGACAGAGAGATAGAGAGAGAGAGAGAGAAAACAAAAAAAGACATTTCCTTCACATATTTTTTATTAATCCGGACCCTGCGGGACCCCCCCCCCACGCCTGCAGCGTGCAGACACGGTCGCGGATAACGAGGAGGGATGGATAACGCATTTTGTGGTGTGCCAGGCCTGCCCTACGGACGCGCCTGACTGTGCGACGAGAAGGAGTTGTTCAGATCGACAAGGGGCGGAGGAGGGAGAGGGAACGGAGGATGCTGATGATATTGGAACATGGGCAGAGGGAAGAGCATGAGGTGGAAGAGGAGGAGGATGTGTAGGAAGATGACCAGAAAGGGAGAGAGAGAGAGAGAGAGAGAGAGAGAGAGAGAAAGAGAGAGAGAGAGAGAGAAAAAAGAAAAAAAGAACGAGAGAGACGGAGGAGGCGGAGGAGGAGGCGGAGGAGGAGGCGGAGGAGGAGGAGAGGAGGATGGGGGAGGATACGGAGGGGGAAGAGGATGAGAGGGAGGAGGGGGAGGAGGAGGAGGAGGAGGAGGAGGAGGAGGAGGAGGAGGACCAGGAGGAGGAGAGAGGAGGAGGAGGAGGAGGAGGAGGAGTAAGAGGAGTAAGAGAAGGGGGAGGGCGGGGAGGACAGAAAGGAGAGGGAGGGGAAAGGCGGAGTGATGGAGGAGGAAAAGGAGTTGCTCGGGCCATCTGCGCCCCACCCAGCGGCGCCGTGGTCGCCCCTGTGCCGCGTGGCTCGAGCCGAAACCGAAAGTCCGAGAGTGCATTTTGTCCAGCGGGGTCGTCGCCCTGCAACCTCCCGCTGGCATGTGGTGATCCTCGTCGTCGTCGTCGTCGTCGTTGTTGTCGGGGAGGAATGTTAGAAAGAGGAGGAGGAGGAAGAGGAGGAGGAGGAGGAGGAGGAGCGAGGAGCGAGGAGCGAGGAGCGAGGAACGAGGAGCGAGGAACGAGGAACGAGGAACGAGGAAGAGGGAGGAAGCAGGAAGGAGAAGGAGGAGGAGGCGAGCGAAGTTATGAAGCAAGGAATGAAGGAAACAAAGGTGAGGAGGAGGAGGAGGACCAGAGTAAACCCAAGGGTCATCAACGATGTTGGAATGAACTCGCCCTCCAAGCTCCCCCTTCATAGGCCCCAACAACGGTTCCTTTCCACAGGGACCTGCCTCGTTGGAAGGCAACCGTTTGAAGACCTGAAGCATGCCAAAGCATTGTTCTCGGGATTTCGAACCCACGGATCAACCTGACTGTTGCGTTTTGACGGTCTTGAATCATGCCAGAACGCCATTCAACACCGCGAATCAACGTAACTGTCGCACCCTCATAATCCTGAACCCTTCCAGAGCACAATTTCTGGTATGTTGATCATGGGAACCCACGAAACCCTTGCAACCTGTTGAAACGAATGTGCGCGGCGCTAATGCGAGAGCCACACTTTGAAAAGGAGCCGCCCTCAATCAGTGAAGACTCTTGCCAATGTTTGAAACGAATGTGCGCGGCGCTACGCGTGAAGACTCTTGCCAATGTTTGAAACGAATGTGCCCGGCGCTACGGTGAGAGCCACATTCTGCAAACCACCCGCCCTAGATCCGTGAAACTCTTGCATATGTTTGAAACGAATGCGCGGCGCTAAGGCGAGAGCCACATCGTGTAACTTTTGCAAATGTTTGAAACGAATGTGCGAGGCGCTAAAGCGCGAGCCACATGTTGAAAACGACCCGCCCTCAATCCGTGAAGCTCCTGCACTTGTGTAAAACGAATGTGTACGGCGCCATGGCGAGAGCCACATTTTGAAAACCACCCGACCTCAATCCGTAAAACTCTTGAGGCGAGAGCCACATTTTGAAGAACAGCAAGAATGCACGCGGCGCTAAAACGAAAGCCTCATTTTGAAAACCACCCGCCCTCCATATGTGAAGCTGTTGCCAGTGTTTAAACTTCAGGGTCATAAGTGGTGAGGAAGTCTCAGGCGAAACGCCCGGCCCGCCCTATGAACTGGCCTCGGGGTGCGACAGGGAGAAGTTGTTCATAAGGAAATGGAATGGAGGGACAAGGTTCGACGAGGAGAACGAGGAGGAGGAGGAGGAGGAGAACGAGGGGTAGGAGGTGGGTAGGCGGAAGGGTAGGAGGAGGAGGAGGAGGAGGAGCAGGAGCAGGAGCAGGAGCAGGAGCAGGAGCAGGAGCAGGAGCAGGAGCGAGGAGGAGCCTCTAGTCGAAGCGCGCGCCGCAGCGGGAGGTCGTCGTCGTCATCGGCCATGCCGCGGTCGCCGCCGCCACGGCCGCCGCCGCCACGGCCGCCGCCGCCACGCGCTGCCGCCGTCGCTGTCGTCCCGCCACGAGCCAGAAGGGTCAATTCCGATCTGATCGATCCGATTCGGTATCGATTTCGGGCGCTCAGATCCGATTCGGTTCCGACGCTCTCGTGGCGTTGTTGTGCATATTTGCGTGGCCAGGCCAGATCCGATTCGGATCCGATCCCGCGCCGATGAAGCCCGACCCGGCATGGTCTGACGCACATTCGGATGCGATTCCCCGATTGGATGTTGACTGACCTTGCCATTCGCCAGACTGGTCCCGAGGGTCAGAGGGTGTGGGGACCCAAGGCTTCCGCTGGTCTCGGCCTCCTCCGCGGTCCTTCCCTGGGCCCGCAGGGCCGCCCCGCCCGAGGAACAGGATTGAGGGCGAGAAGCGGGCCCAGAGAAAACCCTGGGGGCCAGGGCTGGTTTTCTCCCGGGCCCCATTGTGATTGCTATTAGTAGCAATCGTCGTCGTCGTCGTCGTCGTCGTCGTCGTCGTCGTCGTCGTGCGTCGTCGACTCCGTCCTACGTTGTCTGAGTGAGCTGTTCGGGTCCTTGGGAGACCACAGACATGTCATGACATGTCCACGCATGGCGCTGGGCAGTACTAACTTTACGGTGCCCTGGCTGGGGGTGCACAGTGGTATCTAAGACGCCTACGGCGAATCACCGCCGCCCCCTGCCTTTGTGGAAGCGCCTATGTGGCCGAACGTGGAGGCCAGACCTGCCAAGCCATCGGACCATGTGTTCCCCGAATCGGTTTGGAAAGCCTTCGGGGAACACGTGGGCATCTTGAAGGTCATCTTGGCCGTCTTGGAGGCCTCTTGGGCGATCTTTCGGCGATCTCTGGGGGCTCTTGGGCCGTCTCGGGCCGTCGGAAGGCCGAAAAGAAGAAAATGTCAAAATCCGTCGAAAACCTAAGGGAAATCAATGTTTTTGGCCTCTTCTGGCCTTCCTGGAGGCCCTCTTGGGGGCCTCTTGGGCCTTTTGGGCCAGCTTCGAGCCAACTTCGGCCATCTTGGTGGGTTCCTGGCACGTCTGACGCCGTCGGGAGCCGTCTTGGGGGCCTTTCTGGGCCAACGGGGGACCCTCTTGGGGCGCTTCGGGGCCGTCTTGGAGGCCATCTTGGGCGTCTTGGAGGCCATCTTGGGCGTGTTGGAGGCCTCTTGGGCCGTCTTGGGGCCCTCTTGGGGCCATCTTGGAGGCCACTTGGGCCGTCATGGGGCCCTCTTGGGGGCCTCTGGGGCGATCTTGGGGGCCTCTTGGGCCTTCTTGGGCCGTCGGAACGCCGAGAAGAAACACATTCCAAAATCTTTGAAAAACCATAGGAAAATACAGGATTTTGGCTTTTCGGGCCCTCTTGGAGGACCTCTTGGAGGCCTCTTGGGCCGTCTGGGAGGCCTCTGGGGGGCCTCTTGGGCCGTCTTGGGCCGTCTTGGACTCTCTTGGGCCGTCGTGGAGGCCGTCTTGGACCATATTGGGCGGACTTGGAGGCCATTTTGGACCATCTTGGAGGCCATCTTGGGCCATCTTGGCCACCAAGCCATCGGACCATGTGTTCCCCGAATCGGTTTGGAAAGCCTTCGGGGAACACGTGGGCGTCTTGAAGGTCATCTTGGCCGTCTTGGAGGCCTCTTGGGCGATCTTTCGGCGATCTCTGGGGGCTCTTGGGCCGTCTCGGGCCGTCGGAAGGCCGAAAAGAAGAAAATGTCAAAATCCGTCGAAAACCTAAGGGAAATCAATGTTTTTGGCCTCTTCTGGCCTTCCTGGAGGCCCTCTTGGGGGCCTCTTGGGCCCTTTTGGGCCAGCTTCGAGCCAACTTCGGCCATCTTGGTGGGTTCCTGGCACGTCTGACGCCGTCGGGAGCCGTCTTGGGGGCCTTTCTGGGCCAACGGGGGACCCTCTTGGGGCGCTTCGGGGCCGTCTTGGAGGCCATCTTGGGCGTCTTGGAGGCCATCTTGGGCGTGTTGGAGGCCTCTTGGGCCGTCTTGGGGCCCTCTTGGGGCCATCTTGGAGGCCACTTGGGCCGTCACGGGGCCCTCTCGGGGGCCTCTTGGGCGATCTTGGGCGCCTCTTGGGCCGTCTGGAGGCGTCGGAATGCCGAGAAGAAGCAAATTCCAAAATCCTGCACAAACCGATGGAAAATCAATGATTTTGGCCTCTTCGGGCCCTCCTGGAGGACCTCTTGGAGGCCTCTTGGGCCGTCTGGGAGGCCTCTAGGGGGCCTCTTGGGCCGTCTGGGGCCCTCTTGGACTCTCTTGGGCTGTCTTGGAGGCCGCCTTGGACCATCTTGGGCGGACTTGGAGGCCATTTTGGACCATCTTGGAGGCCATCTTGGGCCATCTCTGGGCCATCTTGGAGGCCATCTTGGAGCCGTCTGGGGCAGAAAAATTGGGAAGTGAGGTCCGTGGAAAAAATCCCGAGACCCTGGCGGGACGGGCCGAAACCCACTAGAGAGTTCTTTTGGACAAAAGAACCAACACCAAAACCGATAGGATTTGGCACGCCGGGCACCCCTTTGCTAAAGCAAAACGGGGCGGATCAAATGGCCTTCGGCCCATGACGCCACCGTGCCTGGGTTGTGGGAATGAAGCCCATTGGATGTTCGTTGGGATCTCGTCGGGGGCCTCTCGCGGGCCTCTTGGAGGCAGTAGTGGGGCCTTTGGGGGCCGTTTTGGGGCCTCTTGGGGCATTTGTTGGGCTTCTTGGGGGCTTCTTGGGGTCTCTTGGGGGCCTCTTGGTGGCCTCTTGGGGCCTGCCGGGCGCCTCTTAGGGCCTCTTGGGGGCCTCTTAGGGCGTGGGATTTTCGGTTCGTGCTCCCTCTCTTCGGCCCCTTCTGCTGCCGTCTTGGGGTCCTCTAAGGCCGTCTTGGCCGCCTCTTGGGCCGTTTGGGGCGCTCTTTGGCCGTCTTGGAACCCTTTTGGAGGCCGTTTCGGGGTGGTCCTGTGGGACTTTTTGGGCCTGATGATGATGATGATGATGATGATGATGATGATGATGATGATGATGATGATGATGATGATGATGATGATGATGATGATGATGATGATGATGATGATGATGATGATGATGATGATGATGCTGATGCTGATGCTGATGATGCTGATGCTGATGCTGATGATGCTGATGCTGATGCTGATGCTGCTGATGCTGATGCTGATGCTGATGCTGATGCTGATGCTGATGCTGATGCTGATGCTGATGATGATGATGATGATGATGATGATGATGATGATGATGATGATGATGATGATGCTCATGCTCATGCTCATGCTCATGCTCATGCTCATGCTCATGCTCATGCTCATGCTCATGCTCATGCTCATGCTCATGCTCATGCTCATGCTGCTGATAATGATAATGATGATGCTGATGCTGATGCTGATGCTGATGCTGATGCTGATGCTGATGATGATGATGATGATGATGATGATGATGATGATGATGATGATGATGATGATGATGACGCTGATGCGCGCGCGTCTTGCCTCGGCCTGGGCCCGTAGCGCGCGCGGGAGGCG